TAATCTGACAATACTATAATATTGGCCATATTATATTTACATTACCACAGTGAGATGACTTTAGTCTCATGAACAACAAGAGCTAATTTTTATTTATTAACTACTCTTGAAATGACTGTTCAGTACAGAAATGAAGCCCAACAATCATGTTTTACAGTCCCGTGGCCTCAGCCTCAGATACTCAACTAATTAAAGTGATGTCATGACAAAAATGAATGACCAACAAAACATTTTTTCTCCTTCATTTATGTCACACAATCTTGCGTTTCTTGCGGTTAGTATCATGGTTGCTAGGCAACCTGAACAGCGCAACGAAGGCTAGACCGTCCCATTTCACAAGCCTCTCACTTCCGCACTTCTCGTACTTATAGTACGCACCGTACGTGGTACGCGTAGTGCGCGTAGTGCGCGTACTTCAAGCGTGCAGACCCTGAATTGAGACACAGCCATGGAGTAGCACAGACAGAAGGTTCACACATCCAGAGGGTCATACAGCCAGGCTTCTTTTGGAAACTAGAGGTGTCGCCCCCTTCTGGTCATTAGAAAGAATACAGGTTTAACTCTGCGCTTTAGACCAAGTACCTGTTTCTGAGGTGTTCTTCAGTTTTGCATTCATGCACAAGGATCCCAAATATTAGACAGCAGGCAGAAACACATCTGCAAGTCTGCTCCTTTGAGTACTTGTCTTTGTTTCATTATACCACAGAGCAGCCACATTATTGGAGAGATAATTAAAAATATCTCCAACAGGACGTCCGACATCCTTTTCTCCTCACCTATTACCAACCAACACAGAGCCAGGTAACACAACAGTAGGGGCATTGCAAAGGGCAAACACAGTAATAAAGACAGAGCCAGCTACTAATTGTCACGGTCTGCGGCGGGCGGACTGTGTGTGGGAGTGTGAGGTTTCAGGTGCAGACATAGATGAGGAGACAGTACTGAACTTGAAACGAAAAGCGAGCCCTTATCAACGATGCATATGACGGAGACAACTATGAACAGGACTCTGTGCTGGAACAACAAAGACAATACAGGGGAGAGTAACACTAACTACAATGAACAAAGAACACCAGACTCTTCCAAAATAAAACAGGAAACACAAAGACATAGCACGAACTTGACAACAAGAGCCATACAGACATGAAACATGACAGGTAGATGCACGGACCAGGGAGAGATGACAAAAGGGACTAAGAAACCAAGGACTAAACTGCAAACTAGAAAACAACTAGATGTGTTACACTACAACATGGGGATACAAAAATATGCATTAGAACTCAAACACTGGGCCACATGGCCCAGTACCGTGACACTAATACTTATTGAGTGGCAATTAACGAGGCCGTGACTGTTCTCGTAGCTGCAGATCTTTGCTAACTTTCCCTCTGTGACCTGCAACAGATGCAGAGTCGCCTTCCAGAATATTGACAGAGCATCGCTGTAATGAGGATGGTGATAAATACTGAATGACGAGAGGAGACGGTGTCATTAAAGCCACCTCCATCGACAGCCCTGCTCCCACTGCACGCTCTGTGATATAAGCTTTGAGCCTGCAAGTCAACTTTTGTAACTGGGAGGTTGAGGATGACACGGCTTGGAGTTTCTGCTTCCACTATCAATCAGAAATCCCAGTCGTCTTTCTTTGTCAAACCGTTCACTGTAAATAACCAAACTGAACGTCCATTTAAAGAAAGCTTGACAGGACATTTGAACCGGAACAGAAAATCTCTTTAGCTTAACTTTGATGCACGACGGTAACCTCGAACCCACTCACTGTTCAACCATTCTCTTTGCATGGGGCAGCCAATCAGAAGAAAAGTACACTTAAAGGAGGGAGGAGCTTAAACAGCTCATTTCAGATACGCTGCCAAACTGAACAAACCACCGCTTCATCAGCGTCGATAAACAGAATAAATAACAGAACAGAAATAGCACTGAGCAGCATTTTCTTCAGCTAAATTGCTGCTTGTGTGAGTGAAGCCACAGGTAGCACTCCCGTGTGTTTGTTTTTGGTCATATGAGCCGGGACGGGATGTGGAAAAGTATTAAATTACTCCCAACCAGCAGCTGGTTTTGGGTGGACGGCTTTGGGAAAAACTTTAGAGAGTAGAAGTCGGCTGATGTGCAGACTAACCCAGCTTCATTACATTTGGGGGTAAACAGTCTGTATGTGAGATAGGAAACTTGGCAGTAATAATAATGCTGCTCAGAGGCAGGACAGTTTAATGCAGGGAGTTTGGTACAATGGCTTCAGCCATGGGAAAATATAATTGAAATGCAGCACGATTCACTCGGGGCGGCAGGTAAATGTTAAACTCTTAAATCAGGCCCTCAAACTTCATTTCCTCGTGTGGGAGAAAGACCTTTACAGTACATCAGCAAGCCCCAGCTTTCTTATTGTCGGAGAAGTCGGCCGAGCAAGGAGCTGATAAATTGGAACAAAATTTATCAGTTGCAACTGTGGCTCAAAACTGATGTTTATGCCTCTGCTGGGAGCAACAGCCCATTATTGGGAGATTTCTTTTGACAAGTTCTATATGGAAGTGCGCAAGAGCAGCTCGGGACAGCTGTATTAATTTGCCTGAATGATGGTGGAGCTATTAAAGCAGCAGTGATGAGGTTTGGAGAGCCTTATGATGCAGATGCTATTAAAGGGAAGTTTACAGGGAATGTGATCTCACAGGAAGTTGGACTTCGTGCTTTTCTTCTTCTTCTTCTTCCTCCGCAGACATCTTGATATGTTCAGCTTTTACTCTGAAAGAATTCACTTCTTTCCTTTAATGTTGTGCTGACTAGCAGATATAGTGACGGCTTAAACAATGAAGCCCAGAAACTACTCAGCTTCTGTTTTTTCCCCTTAAACAACTTTGAAAATGAAAAATGACAAGTGTCGCACTAGTACTATAAGGTAGTGCACCACTGCCATTGGACATTTTGTACATAACTGATATTCCCCAGTGTCTTTTACACAGTGGAGTTATTTCACAGCCTAGAAAGTAGAGTGGTCTGAAACCCTACAACATGTCGAAAAGACACTACTGTATCATCACTGTCACAGGGGGAGGGGCAACAAAGGAAATGTTGGAGAAGTTTGTGGTAGATGGAAGAACTTTGTTTTACTTTAATACAAAGAAAACTCCAACGACTACTCGCAGTCTGAGAGCGAAGTGCTCTAATGGGGTGATATGGTACTATAAGGTCATTAAGATAAGATGGGGCCTGATTATATAAGATGTGATGAGCAGGATTTTAAATTCTGGATTTAACAGGGAGCCCATGAAGGGAAGCCAATATAGGATAAATATTCTTTCTTGTCCCTGTCAGTACTCTTACTGCAGCATTTTGGATTAACTGAAGGCTTTTCAGGGAGTTTTTAGGACATCCTGATAATAATGAATTACAGTAGTCCAGCCTAGAATTAGTAAATGCATTAACTAGTTTGTCAGCGTCACTCTTAGACAGGATATTTCTAACTTTAGAGATACTGCGAAAATGGAAGAAAGCAGTCCTACAATATGATTCAAACCACTGCAGTGCAGTACCCTGTGTTTCAATCTTTGTAGTAAATCTCTTAGTATAGCCCAAACTCAGTCTAAGTACTTCTTACTAATGTAATGCCCAGACCAGACTCAAATGCTTGTGTGATTCCACGTGTGTGTCTGCCACCGCGTCTGAAAAGTAACACTAAGGTGTGTCCACAAGTGTGATGAAGGGTAAAATATGATGACGAGTGCTACAGGTATCAGCATGTGATGAGTTGGTAGTGAGAATGCGTCGATCTGACTTATCTAGCTAACGACCTGCCTGAAAGATTTTTGGACTAACTCCCATTTATACTGACAGCTTGTCATCCTCCTCTTGCTCTACAGGAAACGCCTTTGTTGTGAGCCTGGCCTTTGCTGACTTGGTGGTTGCCATCTATCCCTACCCGCTGGTGCTCACTGCCATTTTCAACGATGGTTGGATTGCCGGCTACATCCACTGTCAGATCAGTGGCTTCCTCATGGGCCTCAGCGTAATTGGCTCCATCTTTAACATCACGGGCATCGCCATCAACCGCTACTGCTACATCTGCCACAGCCTCAAGTATGACAAGCTCTTCTCCAACAGCAACACCATGTGCTATGTTGTGCTCGTCTGGGCGCTCACCATCCTCGCCATCGTCCCCAACTGGTTTGTGGAGTCGCTGCAGTACGACCCGCGGGTTTACTCCTGCACCTTCGCCCAGTCCGTCAGTTCACTGTACACCATCGCCGTGGTGGTGGTGCACTTCATCTTGCCCATTGGCATTGTCAGCTACTGCTACCTGCGTATCTGGATTCTGGTCATCCAGGTGAGGCGGCGGGTCAAGCCAGACTCGAGACCTAAAATCAAGCCACACGACCTCCGCAACTTCCTCACTATGTTTGTGGTGTTCGTGCTCTTCGCTGTTTGCTGGGCGCCGCTGAACCTGATTGGCCTGGCGGTGGCAGTGGACTCCACGCTGGGCCGTGCCATCCCAGAGTGGCTGTTCACAGCCAGCTACTTCATGGCGTATTTTAACAGCTGCCTCAATGCCGTCGTCTACGGTGTCCTGAACCATAACTTCAGGAAGGAGTACAAGAGGATCGTCCTCATCATCTTCAAGTTCCACTGCTGAGATGGAATACTTGGAAATGCAGCGATTTTTATCTTTAATGACATGAAAGATAAAAAGAACTTTACCCTGACAGGAAAATAAAATAGGACTGATGAAATGGAAAGAAAGCAAATAAAGGTACAGTGGAAGGAGGACAACAAGAGCACTGAGTGGGAGAGAAAAATAGGAGCGCTTTAATAGCTGCAGGAGGAGAGATGAAGAGCAGACAAAGTGAAATAAATGTTGCCACACTGAGAGTTATCAGTGATGCCTTCAGGGAAACAAGGAGACTAAAAATGCAGAGAGCAAGGGAGAGGCCAGAACTTGGGAAGCACTCCTAACTGGGGAATGTGTTTCATCCTGACTTTCTTGGGTAATGAAGTCGTGACTTAATGTTCAGATGAGAACATAATTCATTGTGTTTAATTAGCAACATAATTAAGTTAAATGTGGGGTCACTGAGTTGAATAGCATCCTCTGTGAATTAGATTCAAGGCAGAGCTCTGACACTGTGATTTTTTTTAAAGAGGTCGACGCTGTTCCTGTTCCTACGAAGTACGAAGATAACGACGAAGATGACAAATCGGCTTTGAGGAGAATGAAGACGCATTATATACTTTTAAAATTGCAAAATCATTTAAGGTGCGACACATTTTTGAACAGGCTGCGAGAGACTCTGTGTGTTCACAACAACGATTGGGATATTTTACTTGTAATATTACTAATCTAAGTAAGAAGGTAGCAAACTCTCACTGAGGACAGAGGGGGACGATAGAGGACTTGTCCAGTGACTTCAGCTTTGGACTAAGAATCCCAGTCTGAAGCATAAAAGTACTCCATGATATGGGTCTGGTTCCTGCAAGACTGGTCCTAACTAAAACTTGATATTTGTTAAGACCAGCCCAACTTAAACCTAGTCTTAACTAAGGTGTCCATGCGTCTATGACTGCAGAGTGATAGAAATGTTGCAGAGTTCACCTGTTTTTACCAACCAGCTGTTGTGTAATCTAATCCAATAAAAACAGCTGTTCAGTGACTTCATTGTCATTCAGCTCTAATAACGAGCCCCAAAATTTACATGAAGTCTGAAAAGTTGCTGTACAGTTAAAAGACAGGAACGCTTTTTCAAGTAGCTCATCATAAAACATTAACAGCATCACTTACAAAATCCATCACTTCTAGCAGCCCTGGTTTGGGTTTCTGCTTTATGGTTTTCTGTATCACAGAGTTCCCTGCACTCAGCTGGTGGCAGTCATGACATCAATGGAATCACATGTATGCAAATGTTTACCACTTAGAAGGTGCTCAGGTCACCTGCAAATGGTTTAATCACCAAGTCCTTTTAGAAAGGAGCATTATAAGCAGCTACCTGTGCGTTTGTCTCAGGCCCCGAACCTTGGCTCCACTGCCTTCGACTGCAGCTGGCAGTCCTGGTTCTGCTCAGCTTAGCAGCTCACTTCTCCACCTGCGGCATTTTCTGACTCTACATCTCACAGAGAAGAAGAAAAACTACCATGGACAGCTGCAGTTCAAGGCAGTGAACAACGATCCATTAAAAATGCAAATAAAAAATACTAAAATAAAGTACCCCGTGTATTCGTGGGGTTGTTAGTAACCCGTTAAAGTCTTTGTGGGGGAAACACTATGCTGTGCTTTTATACTGATACAGTAATAATTACTCTGACTTCCAGTTCTAGCTGGGAGATGACGCATGGATGACCGACACACGCTTAAAGCTCTGAGATCCCAACAAAAAACTCAGTGCAAGATCGAGTCTGAGAAGTGCCACACTTCACCACATCCACCTGTGTGAGTCGTGCATCCACAGTCTTAGTGCCCAGATTCCTGCAAAAAACATGTGTCAGAAAATGGTGAAACAAACATGTGCAAGAGTCCAAAACATCCCCACACCTGCTGCCAGGGCACTTAGGAGGCTACAAGCTTTTTTGACTTTGTGAGGCCTAAAAGTTAAAAGTGTCATTAATCAAAATCCACTTTTAATTTAAAGCAGCAAAGGGTTCTTTCTCTGTCGTTCTGCTGTTAAGTGTAACTTTGCAATGATGCTTTCAGGACTCAAACATTTAGTTTGACCGGACAGTGTGATGTATATGGAGAGGGGCGGGGGGTACAATATGCTCTAGAGAGGCTGACTCTGAGACTGTCTCCCTTCATTGCATCATCACCTTCCTCTTCCTGAGAATGAGTGGCACAGGTGTGCCACAGCCTCTCTGCATGTCCTGCACGGTGTCTCCGTGTGCAACCCTCTGCAAACACAGACGGAGACAAAAGGATGAAAGCACAGTGTCTGTTTACTGCTGTGTCCTCCCACAGGACCACAGCCAGTCTGAGCTCAGCAACCTGAGACTATCGGTGTTCCCTCACAGTCGCATGAGTGCATCTGCTGTACACATCGAGTCTGAACACAAGCCGAGCATCAGAGAAACAGGCACGAGTGATTAAATCATGGTAACGGTATTCTGAACACGTCACTGTGCTTCATACTGCTGGGGAGCTGAAGATGAATGTTGCATATGTATGAATAAGCTGTGATAATCTGCCTGTGCTTTGGTCCTATTTTAATGAGCTCACTGTGTGTGTGTGTGTGTGTGTGTGTGTGTGTGTGTGTGTGTGTGTGTGTGTGTGTGTGTGTGTGTGTGCATGCGAGCGTGCATGCATGTTTAAGGGTCCACTGAGGACCCTTCGATGGCACCAGGGACAGCTGTTGGAGGGACAGCGTGTTTGTGCGTGTTTTGTTTGTTTTTTGTGCCAAGATGTTGCCGGTTCAAAGTCAGTCAAGGTCTGAAGTTTAAAGCCAAATGTTCCTGTGTTCACGTCTTGTAAGCGCAGGCAGGTAATTTACAGGTAAAACAAGGGCATCTGACAAATAATCTGAACTCACAGGAAATCTTCAGCGAGCTGCTGTGAGTCTTCACATCTGCCCAAGAAACAGAGAAAATAAATTTACCAAGAATTAAGTACATTAATTGAAGACCAACAGGAGTTTAGACTAGTTTAACATAACAACGTCTTGTTCTTTTTGACACCATGTAAAAAGAAGCCGTCCTCCCCGTCCTTGGTGCAGATCTGGGACCTGTGGGATTGATCATATCTCTGCTGCCTCTGCGTTGCTAGTTTTATTTACTTTATCAACCTCCAAAGATGAAGCTAAGATAATAAATAGTAATATGAAGGGAAGCAGTTACTCTCAGATGAAGCTGGAGTAATCTAACCAGCTTCCACAGACACTTACAGCGAGTCTGAGAGGTGAAGCTAATGTAAAAACCTAAATTCCTTCTAATGACAACCAGCTGGCTGTTGGCAGGACACCCGTGGATCGATGCTGGATCGGATTGGGATCTGGGGAATCTGCAGTTATAGACTCCAACACGACTGTGAATAAAAGAAAGAAGCACAGATGACATAAATGAATAAAGTGGAATTCATCAATACTCATGTTTGGAAGATAGCGCAGCTCGATGAGGACAGCGGCAGGTTTAATTGGCCCACTGAGGGTTTAAAGAAGCACAGTTATTGGCTTTCTTTTTTTTTTACCTGAATTACCTGCAGCTGTGTACATCTAAAGATGTATTTCTCTTATTTTTTGTGCTAAAAATCAATTAAGCTTGCTGTTGTTTGTGTGTTTGGATCAGTTTTAAACAAAAAGAATGGATGTAAAGGCCGAGCGGCAGCCGGTTGCTCTGAATGACAATGTTCTTGTTTTCCTTTCATACGCTGTTTTGCACATTGCCGTGGAGAATGTTTCCTCTGAATGTTTGTAATGTCGATGAAACAAAAGAAACCGAGCAACACCTGAAATCCATGTCTTAATAAAAGAACTTTCAGTGTGAGCCGCTGGCCTCCTCGCTTTATTTCACACAGAAACAGCACGCTCACAGAGACACTGATCCGGTCTATCGTTATGTTCATGAAGGTTTAACTCTGGTTTCCTCACACGCTGCTGCTCTGTCTGCAGCCACCGCACTCATTTTATTATTTCTTCTTCTCTTATAAAGTCAATCTCTCTCTCCTGCTGGTACACCTGTCCACATTTGTGACTGATTACAAGTTCTGCCTCTTTCAAATGAACACATCATAGCTCAACTGATAACTCATAGCTAAGTTATCGAGTTGATAACAACCTCTGCGATTGATCGATGAGTTGGTGCAATCAGTTGGTAACTGATCGCAGTCTGAACAACCTCAGATCCATCTGCTGGTTCCAAACTTTAATTGCTTTAAAATACCGGTCAATATTTAAAAGCTGATGCAGGTCAAATACATACAGGTTACTGAGCGCTCATCAGCAGTTAAAAAGTTGCTGTTACTGTGGTGACAGACCAAAAGGAAGCACTTCCCTCCACATTTCTTTGTGTGATTTCAGTCGAGCCACACTGACAGCTATCTGTCTCTCTGCACTTCAACACGCGGCCCATCACCACATCACCCTGTGTAATCTCAGGTCTGTTGCTGTGGCAACAGGAAGATCAGAAGGGTGACCTGTCAGTTTGGAGGAGCTGTCGCCGTGAGCAACGCCGGCAGTCAGCTATCACCTCCCCGCCAGGAGGACAGGTGAAGGAAAAAAATCAAAGAGAAGATGGAGAGATAAAAGGAAGTGAGATAAGCAGGAGGAAGTAACGGGGTGAGGTGTGAGTGGAAATAAATGCCGGCAGCACAGGTGAGTTGAAAACAGCAGCCACACCTGTAAGATTCAAATCTGAAGCACAGCAAACTGAGAACCTGAAAACACCTGGAGCACAGCTGGAGCTGATGCAATGTGAGCGAAACTTGGGTTTCCAACAACAGAGATGACATGTTTCATCAGACCCCTCTCCCCATCCCTGCTTCAGCCGGCTAACGAAGCTCTCATGTTACCTCATAGAGCATTCAAGTTCTCACGATGCCGTCGGCTGTGATCTTGAATTTTAATGCACTGACCCCCGGATGCAGAAAGTGCTCCTCAGCTTCACAAGGTTAGATCATTATTGGACTCAGGAGAGGCGCCCGCTGATGAACAGCGAGCAGCTGAAGGATCCTTGCATGTCAGCACACACACTGAATCAAAACTGACCTCGCTGACGGTCACGTTGCCCAAGTTCAGTTTTACTAGGTTTGAATAAATCAGAAACAGAATGACGGCTGGGTAACGAGGACCTGATCCTCATCAAGGTCTCGTGTATGACCGGCGGCTTGAGCTCACACAGAGAACACGTGACCCTGTAAACAACGCATCCTGTACCGAACTATTTCTTAGATCTATTTATTACAAACACAGCAGTGATTCCT